GAGCCTACAGTTCCATCGCTTTCAAGACCTCGGAAATTCTTGAACGGGCATGCAGACCCTTCACTTTGCTCGCAGCAGAGCAGGGTGTTGGATCCCAGTCCTGGAGCGATATAATGTATTCCTGTTTGCAGAGTTCAATATCTGTCATTCAGCAACCCCAAAGCACATCTAAACAGGCCCTTTGAGTTCCTGCACTTTCACTAACAAAGCGATGAAAATAGCTTCAATGTACGTGATTGTGCAGCTTAAGTCATGATTTAAAAAAAAAAAAAAAGAAAAGAAAAGAAAAAGTCTATTGCTTGTAAAGGCAAGAGCAAAAAAATGTCATTGTGTGACATGGTGGGTTTGAGGGCTCTTGGCTTGCAGCGTCCAGGCTTCCTGTTTGTGAAACATCTCTCTGTGCTGCCTTCCCATGGTATGAGCAGAGAAAGCCACTTCTGTTTTCGGGAGGGATTCAAATATTTTTCAGTTTGGTTCTGTTTTGATTTCAGGTGATGATTAAACTGTGCGTGCATGTGGGCATTTATTGGTGCGAATGTAAAAGAGTACACGATGTGCGCGAATACTAATGAAAAATACAACTGTGTAAGAGCCCGAAAAATTATTCCGCCTGTATGTACTGAAAATATTGGAATATAAAGGAGGGAGGATGAGGAAACCACAGTGAATCATACTGCTTGGGAAGAACTGTGGGTATAGAAAATTCTGATGGAGAGGTTCAAATACATTTTTCAGAGGTTTTTGTAACCGAATTGTGGAGAATTTTTGATGTGTTTTCCTGGTGTTTCCTTAGCCCCTTACTTTTTGAAGGGTATAACTTGTAGTGGAATTGGTGCTACGTCTCTCACCAAACAGCCTACTTCTGATTTGAGCTTTTAAGCCTTACTACTCAAGGCACTGGATGAGTTGGTGTGATTTCCAAATGGCAATGGGTCTTTAAAGAACCTTCTGTAGGAGAATATTTTTAACCAAGCCCTCCAAGAATGCCTGGTTATTAGGCAATATAAAATTGCAAATCTTCACTTCTTTTGATGAAGTGCTCACTTTTTGTTGTCCCGCATTCCTTAGGATTTTGAAGAAGTCATACAGGGTTTCAATTCTGTTTATTTAAACTTAAAATGTGAGGTGGTTTGATACCTATACGGCTAAATCAGTCATTCTGTTGATGTAACTACTCTGCTGTCATGCAGAGTCTGGAGACTTCCCGAAGTCTGTGCTGGTCGGGGTTGGTCGGGCAAAGCTGGGCACAAGTCATTAAGTAGGAAAGATGCAGCCAACAAACTGGTAGGAGGCTTCGAAAACTCATTCCTTATTTAATATCCTAAGCAAACAGATTGTAATTTACTTCCAGCAGCCTGCTCAAACAAAGCTATAAATTATCAGCTTCGAGAAGTTAATTTGGGAAGGTGTTGAGTGCTTTGGCCCTATCTCTGCGAGGAGCTTGGGTCGGGACGCAGCGAAGAGAAAGGCAGCAGACCACCCACATGGCCTGGCTGCTGTTGGCCAGTTTGAATGGGTGGCACCCGGTGTGCTCGTCCTTCGGTTTTGTTTCATCCTTAGATTTTTGTCTGCTGTGTCTGGGTTTTATTCAGTGAAGGGAAATGATTCATTCGTCCTAAGGTTGAGGAGAGGAACGACACCCATGCTTAGCTTCTAGGATATAAGTGACCAAGACCCAGCCCGAGGACACGCTGGACATTATGGTCATGGTTGAATACCTTCATGAGTTGTGCCGTGCTCCACGGGGTAATTCTTATACTGAAAATTAAGCATGTGTGTGGTTACCTCCCTGTACATTGGGTTTCTGGGTCTTTTTGCATGAGTGCCTAGAAGGAGAAAGCTAATACCAAGATCTTTTCCTTTGCACCGTTCCCACTAACTGAGATAACAGCCAAGGTGAAGCTGCACCCATTCCCTTTGTACGTCACTGGTGTAAAGCTCCTCTCTTTCTCTTTCCTTCTGTGCAGGAAGACACAGCACAGCTCTCTGGACCAGAGTTCCCCACCCCAAAGCGGCGTATCTGGCACCTACAATCACCCTGTCCTGGGGATGTACGATTCCAAAGATGACTTCCCACTCAGAAAAACAGGTAGCGTTCACATCGATTGATTTTCTGTGGTGGTTTTGTGTGTTGCTTACTGTCTTTTCTGGGACACTTGGTCCTCTTTGTTTTGGGGTTTTTTTTGGTTGGGTTTTTTTTTTTCCAAAAAAAAGTCTACATTACCAAAAAGCTGTATTTCACGGGGTGATTTATTTAACAAGCACCCGCTCCATCCTTCTCCCCCTTCGTGTCTCACTGTGTGCGCAGTGTTGGAGGGAGGCTGGCGTTGCCTGGCGTGTGCGGGCTCCCAAGCAGGAGACAGCCGAGTTGTGTGTCCCAGTTTGTGAGATGTTTTCACGAAGTCCAAGCGAATACAGAGATCTGGGTGTCTGAAGTCAAAGTATGTTTTGCCGAGTGAGAAAAGTACCAAGAAAAGTTCATTTCTTCTGGGATTTGCATTTTATATACAAGTTTGTACTTAAAATAAATAAAAATGTTTCTGCCAGTCAAAGCGTCAGGACTTCCTGCGAGGGTTTTGGTTCACACCTAGACAGTTATTTCTCAGTTAGGTTTTTCCCTGCACGGTGGCTAAGCAGGTCAGTTATTTCTCAACTATATATTGTGTAAACCAGGTTGTTTTAGTTGGCCGTGGTCCTCAGCTCCCTATCACATGCCTAAGCCAACACAGCCTCAGCTTCTAGCCTGGCCAGCTCGTGATCCTCAACTGCTTCCTTCGGGGAATAGCTGAGCTTCCATGGGCTTGTCCCGATTTGGGGAGCGATGCTGCTCACGGGGACGGTGCAGACAGTGCTGTGTGTTGGAACTTCCTTCAGAACAGGGAAAAAAAAACTTTTCAGAAAAGATGGAGTAAGGGGGAAGCAGAGGTATGCTTGAACTTCGTACCTTTGGCAGGTACTGTTTTTCAGGATCTTCACATGTGGAGGGATGAGGATCGGTACTCAAAAAGTGGGACATCTGGAGATAAGGAATGGTGATGGGGCATTAGCCAGATCTCCCTGTGGGTTTGCTACTGTCTTTGCTCCAATCGACTTCCCAAAGTTGGTTCCCAAGGGCTGGCAGCCCCTCAGTTTCCTTCTGGGAGGGATGTAGGTGTTCTCACGGCGCATCTCCTAATAGAAATAAAGCAGTTCTCAGGTGTAGTGAACGTTTTAACATGATTCTCATTACCTTTGTCAGCTTGGGCCGTTTTTTCTTCTTTCACCATCTGATGAGAAAAAAAAAAATATACCTCCACACAAACACCTTGTGCCTCCTGCCTCCCAATTCTGTGGATTTAAAAACCTTTTTGGGAACTTCCCATTGTGGACCATAGCACCTGGCTTGCAGGACGGATCTGTGGATGCATTCCCATCTGCTGGGCAGTAGGCTGTCTTCTCCCGCATGGTGGGGTGGGTGGCAAGTGCCAAACACTTCAGCTGCCAAGAAGTCAATCAAAAATGATCAAGCCTTTTCCAGGATATGGGGGTTTTTTTATTTCCTGTGCACACCCTCTACCTTTGGTGATGGTGGTTTTAACTGTGCCCTTTCTGGAGGACTCTCAAAGCTTAGAAAACTGGATTTGTTGAAGGGTAGGTCATCCTCTAATCTTCTACATCATGAAAGACCAAACACCCCATTAGCTGGGGTAGATGCTGCTGCATCGCTGGTGCCCGGGACAGCAGAAGTGATGCTGTCTGGGCTTTGGGACTTTGCCTTTCATTGGGAAGGTGAGCGTTTGGTGGAGGATGGCCCTCAAAGCAGATTTCCTTCGTGCCTAAGGCCAGCAAAGCACAAAGATGTGCTTGGCATACCCGTCTGCCTGGGAGGAGGAACGCAAGCCAGGCTGCTAGCAGCCGTTGCTGCAGTTTGCCGCTCCTCTGCGGAGGGTTTTCAGGCTTGTCTGGGAAGCAGCAGCATTTCTACGCAGGCGAACGGCCCTTGGCATCACACCTATCGCTTCGGGCCTGTGGACAACGTGGTTCCAAGAGATTTTTAGCCCTTTCCTAGACCTTTGGAAAGCAGGTGATCCATTTCTGGTGTGTTAGCATCTGCACAGCATCAATGGGCTTCACCATGCTCCAGAACCTCCCTTGTCCGTTACTTCAGGGACCCTTACTTGTCAGATGGAGTTTGAGGATCGGTCGCCCTTCTTGCTCCCGGTGTTGTGGAAAGGGGATTTCTGCAGGAGAAGGAAAGCAGCTGAACGTCTTGCCCCTTTGTAGCTTCCCAGACCGAGCTCTCAATAACGCTCTGGCTGAATAAAAGCCCCATCAGACAGGGTGAATTAAGGATGATAAATGTATCTAATCACATTATTAAAGATGGAAGCCACCAAAATCGTTGTTTTAAACTGGGAAGATGCTGAGCTGATTTTGTTTTTCCGGAATGCTGATGCTTGTTCTTTTTGGGCACCAGCATTAATCTTTTGGGGACTGGTCCATGATACAAATGAGTTCACTTGCAAGGTTCAGGGGAGAATTTTTTGTTGTTATTGTCTTTTCTTTTCCTTTCAATGTAACGGCACGTCAGTCTCTGACACGGCAATATCCTGCAGAAATACCCCTGCCAAGAATGTTAAGTTGCTTGGAGAAGAAAGGCTCCTGAACAGTCTGATGTAAACAAAAGGCAGGGAAGGCTGGAGCCCATCCTAAATAAAGTTCTTTTATTGCGGGTGAGCTTTTCAGATTTTTGGCACCAGGCGAAACTCTGGCTTGGTATTTGTAATTTAAAACCACCATATTGTGTAGTCCAGTTTTATTAAATTTGATTAAATATTTGAAGTTTAAATAACAGAGTCTGTAACAATACAGTTCTGATTAGCAGGGCTGGAATCTGACCAACAGCATCGGTGTGACTTAGGGGGCTGCAGGAAGGCAGTTTGAATTTTTTTTCTAGGGCGCGTTTTCAGAACTGCCAGCGTGTCGTGCACATTGAGAAATTTTTAAGAATAAATACATCATTGCGCTTCATTATAAAAATCCTGCCTTTCTTTCCTCCTATTTAAAGCATCGTGGTGTGGTAACAGGTTATCCCTCTGCGCACACTTGGAGATAACGTGCTAGTCTAAAACTCGAGCGTGAGTGTTGTGAGAGAGCCCGGCTGAACCAGCCACGGTGGCTTGGGTTAGGAGGAGATGTGTGCGTGAATAATGTCTTCAGAGGGCTTGAAAACATCCAGCATGGGAAACAGTCAACCCTTGCAGCGCTCTCCTAATGCATCCTGTCCCCTGAAATCCTACCCTGTCTGATTTGTTTTACTGAATTATGTTCCAGTTTCTTGGCCGTTTGGTTTCTGGATGAAATTGTTTTCCTGTCAAGATGCTGGCTGGGGCAGTTACTAATTGCTTGAATCCTCTTTTCAGCCTGGCTGGGGGATGCATCTTGCTCCGTTCCCTCTATCTAAACACTTTGGGGCTCTCCTTTTTTTAAGCTGAACTGAGAATGTTTAGGTTGGTGCTGCTCGTGCTTTTGCTGTTAAATAACGGGATTAACAGAAGGATTTTTATTGCCCCTTTTGTGTAGTTTCCTATGTTATAGATAAGTTTCCTTTAGTGTATGCATTTTGGTGACAGCTGTTGAGAGGGGAAAATGTAAGTGACCTTTTCTGCCCCCCGGTCAAGGTTGGTGTCTTCCAAATTTAATGAAGCTTCATTATGTGCTATACTGGGACCCTGTAAGGAAATCTCTGGAGAATCATTCCAGAGTGATTTTAGAGTTTGGGGTTGGGCAGTCTTTTTGCAGCCTGTTTTCATAACCCCGAGAGTTGTTTGTCAACAGCTTTCTTGGAGCTGCTGAAGTTCTTTTTAATGTAGCTCTTTGGCTTTGCCTTTCTAAGGAATGTGATGTCCTCATTTTCTCCCTGGAAACAAGGTTGTTCTTGGTATTCTCTTTTTTATGGAATTTGAGCAGTGGACATATGAAAACATGTGCTTGATTAGAAAGCTGATGTGACTGCCATCATTAAGATTTGTAAAAAGAGAATTACGTAACTTTTTAACGTGCTCTTCCCTTTGCTTACGGAGGTTTTTTTGTTTGGATTTGTTTTCTTTCTTACATCTTGGGCAGGGCTGGACCGTGTCCTGTCAGACACTACCTTTCCCACTTGCATAGAGGTAGGTAGGGTGAGGATTCCTCCTGTTTGTCGGGACTTGACAGCTAAGCAGGAGTTCTAATGAAAGCACAGCATTTCAGTGAGTTGTTGGTAAAATCAGGAGGAGTTTTGCCAGACTTGGTACCCACTAGACCCACCTGGCCAACACACAGTCAGCTCACTGGGATGCATGAACTGGAAACACATCCCTGTACCTCTGCGTCAACCTGACCCCAAAGAGAGAAAACCAGCTCGTGTCTTTTGAAGTACTCAGAAAAGATCTTCTCTAAAGTCGTAAGGGTGAAAATGCCTGCACCCGTAGGACCCGTGCAGGTTGGGAAGCAGGCTCGGATCTCCTCGTGGTGTTGCTCCTGCCGTTGGATAAAGCAAACCTTGCCCAAGACAGCCACTCTCCTTCCACCCTCCTCGTGCCCACGCAGCAGGGGTCTGTGCCTGTGCTGCTGCGTAGTTCCCCTGCCCTGGGCTGGCTGCTGGTCTTTAAACCTTTCTTCTGGTGGATCTCTCAGCAGAGGTGGGATTTTTGACAAAGCTGATGTTATCAAAAATGCTCTCTTGGTTCATTTTGGCCTTTTTTTTTTCATTTGCACTTGTCAACCCTCTGGTGCTTGCCAAGCCACTGTGCACACAAGAAGACCTCCTGCATCCATCAAGAGCAACAGGAATCTGGTTTTTGGGGTCTTTGGCTTGGTTCCAGGGGTTGCTTGGCCCACGGGTCCTGCAGCCATGGTCACTGCTTTGTGGAGCGTCACTGGGGCTCTGGGTCCTGCCTTTTCCTTCCCTCCAGTATCACAGCTGGCTGCGCTCAGGGGGTGAAGATCAGAAGGACGTTGATGGACTTCAAATTTGAAGGAGGTGAAGGATTCCTGTGGTCCCAAACATGTTTTCACTGCAGAGCTATGGGATAGCATCTCACGGTGTGAGTTTCCACTATTTACAAG